TGCGTCGGTCCGCACCCGGGACCCAAATCTGCGAACTCCGGGGCCGCAAAAGCTGAACGCACGAACTTAACCACTATGCTATGGGGCCAGCCCCATGATATGGGGATTTTAAAAGTACCTACCACATGTGACTGTGGTGAGGATTATTTTTAGGCAGTAAGAGATCTGAAGCGCTTAGCACATGGCTGACATAATAATAGGCGAGCTATTATTATTGCTCTCGTTACTCTGTGAGTGCACAAGGGCTTTAAAGCTGCATAATACAGTTATTAAAACGATGGACTCTCCCAGCCTCCAGAAAATTCTAGAATGTTTTGGGAAGGAGGAGCTATCCAAGATCTTTTGATGATGAGGGGTAAAGCAGAAGGAAGGACTGGAAGTTGGGGCACAGTGTGGGGAAACAGAGGAACATCGGTGTGTGTACATGTGGGTTGTGCATGATGGGAACATGTGTAGGATGGTTTTGAAATAGTGTGTGGTGTTTGCTCGTGGATCCATGCTGTTTGGCATGAACCATCAAAGAAAAAAGAAGAAGTAAAACTGTATTTTGCCAGGATAACTCTGATTTATGTGTATAACATTATTTGTACAGAATGATTGACATACACAATGATTTTGCATATCATTAAATATATCAGATTAACTTTGCTGTAAATATTATTCAGTTGTAACAACCACTTCTATAAATATAGTTTCTAATCAGCTGTGGGACCTACTGCTCAGCATGATTAGCAGGGCATATAAACAAGTATTTACTAAATGCAGATTGTAGGAGATATGGTTAACACTCTGCCCAGCGCCTCCTGGATCCCTTTTGTCTCTGAGCTCTCCTCCGCTGGCTCCAGTGTGCTTTTGCCTCCACCAGTACCTGGTCCTCTTCAGAGGCCTGCCTTGGGCGACTAGAACTGCTTTGCCTTTGGGTGCAGAGAGCTGGAAGTGCCTAGGCTCCATCCTCGCCCTGGGTGGCCCTGAGCCAGCAGTGGACAGGTGTGGGAGTGTGAGGGCCCAGCACCTTTGCCTCGAGTGGGAATAGCTCTGGGGCATAACGTATGTTCCTGCGTTATCAGGAGTGGCCGAGGATCAGGCTGGAGCTCGCCCCACAGGCCTGCCTGAAATTGCAGTCCTGCCTCGACTATCCCTCCCTCCCCTGCTCCCTCCACCCCCACCAGTCCTTCTTCCATAAATGATTCGCACCTGCCGCCTCATCACAGTGTCTGCCTCTGGAGAACCTGAAGGAAACATATGTCACTTTCTGTCCTGGACACAGTGTAGACACCAACTCATTTAGTCCTCACGGTGCTGTAAAGTAGTTACCATTACCTTTATTTTGTGGAGAAGTGCACCTACTTGAATAAGGGGGAGAAGGGGCAGCATGAACTTCACCGGAAGTGGTTAGAGGTTCGTGGCTTTGCCTTCTTTCCTGCCCTCCTGCCCACTGACATCTTATTTAACGTGACTTTGTTATCTTTTGAAGTACAGCCACCACCTTAGGGTGGGTTATCTGAACAAACAAGACCATATTTTGAATTATTATCCATATAAAGTGCATCGCTGATGAAAGATATCACAATAATTCCCCTTATTTCGGAAACTACAAGACAATTTAGCAAAGGGGCTATAAAACCATTTTCGTATAGGAAAAACAAGTTACCAGAATGACTAGGAAGAACCTACTGCATTTAATAAGACTTCAGTGAGAGCGCTGGGTGAGGCAGACGGGGAGAAGGGGCAAGCCTTTGGGGTCAGACGCATCTGAGCTTGAGTCCCAGCATCTCCTCTGACAATCTTTGTGATCTTGGGCTAGTTATTTAATCTCACTAAGCCTTAATTTTCTCACCTGTAAAATGGAGACTATAATATCTATTTTGTAGGATTGAAATAAGGATTAAAGAAAAGAATGTATATAAAGTTCTCAGCATAGTGCCTGGCATAGAGTCAGCACTAAATCAAACTGTTTTTCATTAAAATGGTGCGTGACACATATTACGTGGTGTAACACAGTGATTCATCCCAAAACAGAGGTGCACTGTTTGCAGAATTGGTGAAGCGATAAGCAGTTGCTCGTGGACCTCCTCGCAGGCCACGCCTGCTCTATAGGCCGCGCCTGGAGAACTGCTGCTTCACTGCAGGTGTGGCCTTCCTACACGGACACCAATCTGCCATCTTCCTGGCGATCTCTGGAATGAGCCAAGCTTTTAGCATTTTTCCATTTACCAGAGAGAGGAATGGCCGTAGCATACAGCTCTGCCCCCTGGATCATCTGTCCACTAGCTAGGCATCTCGCACATTTGCCAAGATTGCTTAGTAAAGATGGTACAAACTTGTTTTCTTGTTTAACATTTTACTTTGGGATCATTGTAGATTCACATGCACTTGTAAGAAACAACTCAGAGAGATCCCTGTGCCCTTCACCCAGTTTCCCCAATGGCAACGTCTACAAACATCTGATTTTAAACAGAATTTTTGAGTAAATATTCATACTTGCCCTTATACAAAAGCACTAAAAAATCTTCTTTGCTGTAGTGAGACTACAAGACCCAGTGTCTTTCAAGGATCTGAAAATCCACTGGAGCCTCGATTTTGGGCGTGAGGAACCTTGATTCAAAGGAGAACATATGTACACAGGTTCCTTGTTTTGCCCAGAAGTAAAACTGAGACGTTTACAAGAAGCATTATTTCAAAACTGAAATGTTTAATTGTAAGATTCTTTTCTATTTTTTCCTTGCTCACGTGATTAGATTACTTAGGGAGTTAGAATTACCCACTTTCCAGTCCTAAGCATGATGTTTCTCTCGTAGAGGCGGCTCCCACACAAGGGCCTTTTTGGGGCTGAGAGCCCCTTAGAGCATGTGGTAAGAATATTCGTGTTTGGGAACACAAGCAGGAAAGCCAAATGCAGTCAATTTTTATTTACTATTTATTGGAACAGGCTCTTGTGGAAGCTTCCATTACCCACCCAGGACGGTGCTTGCGGCGGCTCGGGCCCTGCTTTCACACCCCGTCTCTGGGTCTCACGGACGGGGCTTACGGAAGCAGCTGGTGTGCCGTGTCTGTTATGATCTCCAATTTATGGATAGTAGAGCAGTTGGCTTTATTTATTGTGTGAAATGTTTTAATTTTGCTTTTAGTTTTTGAAGTAGCAAACGTCTCTCCATCTCCAACACTGTTTGTCCTCGTCTGCCTTCCCGTTCACTTCTCTTTTTTCCACCTTCCTCTTGAGTTTCTGAGCACACCATCCTCAGCCCGCTTCTCACTGCTTTCCCATCTTTTCTTACTCTCCTCACGGATCCTCCCATCTCTCCCTTCCCTGCGTCTCAGCTCTCTAAAAAGAAAAAAAAGGGAGAACAAACAGAAAAATCCTTTATTAAGACATTTGGCAAAAAGCCTTGTATCCCTATGTTTTTTAAATTTCATTTTGTTGTCTTCCAAACCCAGGCCTGTGCAGAGCCCTGCCTCTGTTTTGCCTGCTGGGCATTTGTAGGTATTCAGTGGTAATGACACATAGTCCATTTATAAACAAACATCTTTTTTTCTTTATTGCTGGGTTTGTTTGTGATGTGTGAACAAGCAGTTTAAATATATGTCTGTAATAGCCACTTACCAAGTATTTTACACTGGGTACAAAAGGAAAAAGTAGAAATGACTGTTATATAAATCAATGTTTGGAATGCTGCCATGGTATAGGGCTTTGGGAGTTAATGATGGGGGGAAATGACTTTCTCCCCTTTATATCATCTATCTAGAAGGGTCGGCCTAACACTGGCTCACTTGGGCCACCAGAGGAGATGCTCAATAGACAAGTGAAAGATCAGCTACCATCAGGTCAGCCCAAACGTAATGAGCCAAGACATAGGAGCCATCAGTGAGAAAGAGACCACGTGATGGGTTATGGGAGACTGCCGACTCTGGTATCCCGGACAGCAGTGAACTGGAGTAGGACAGGGGTGTGTGTGTGTTTGTGTGTGTCCAGAGATGAAGAAGGTAGAGACAAGGTCTGGGGCACTTATAGGGTGGGGTTGTGGTCGCATGTGGTTTACCTGTCCCTGCTGGCCTGGGGGTGGTTTCTGGAAGGGCAGACCCCCACTAGACAAGCCAAATGTTCTAGTTCAATGGTTATCAAAGGCATCTGTGCAGTCATTTGACGAACTTTGCCAATTTCCTACAGATGTGACTGCTGTGTTAGGGGAGGTACTCATTGTCAGTTTTGGGTGCATATGAGTCTCTTACCATTTATTGGAAGGAGATACAGTGAAAGTAGAGGGGAAATGCATTTTACAAATATGTATGATTTGATAGCATTGTATATAGGGCTGCTTGCCTGCTGTTTTGGTTTTTTCAACATAAGGAAATAAAGTCAGACAGGATTCTTCTTGTGTTCTGGTTTTGCCTTTGCAGTGTGTATGTGCCTGTGAGTGATATTATTTTTCTCAGTCAGAGTATACCTTTATAGCACTTTCAATATGTGTTGGATTACTTTTAAATTTTTTTTTTTTTGGTGAGGAAGATCAGCCCTGAGCTAACATCCGTGCCCATCTTCCTCTACTTTATATGGGACCCCGCCACAGCAGGCTTGACAAGTGGTGCGTCGGTGCGTGCCCGGGATCAGAACCTGTGAACTCTGGCCCGTCAAAGTGGAGCGTGTGCACTTAACCGCTTGCACTGCTGGGCCGGCCCCTGGATGTACTTTTAATGGTGCCAGATGCCCTGTTGTATTCTTGGGGGAATGCCTGTGCATTCTATGCAAAGTTACCCGGGGGGCGGAGTTCCTTAAAAACAAACAATAATAACAACAGTAAAAACCCTAAATACTCAAGTGCTGATGACCCTTGAGCAGAGAACCAGCCTCTGGTGTGCCTGTGTACCGTGAGATCAAAGACAGGAAAAGCTAATTCTGTGTCTTAGTCTGAGGGGCAGTGAAAAGAGACCAAGAAATAGATGGTGAAAAAGGCAGAGAAAAGAAGAATAATCTCTCTGGTGGTTTTTCTTCTCTTGTAGTTCCATTTTGAACCCAAAGTGGATGATGCTGTCAGGGCTGAACCACTGACCAGAGTCTGAAAAACTCCCATCTTCTCGTTGGCCATCAATTGAGATAAGATGGAAGACTCTTACAAGGACAGGACTTCACTGATGAAGGGTGCCAAGGACATTGCCAGAGAGGTGAAGAAGCAAACAGTAAAGAAGGTGAATCAAGCAGTGGACCGGGCCCAGGATGAATACACCCAGAGGTCCTACAGTCGGTTCCAAGACGAAGAAGAGGACGATGACTATTACCCGCCCGGAGAAACCTATGATGGGGAGGCCAATGATGATGAAGGCTCCAGTGAAGCTACTGAGGGTCACGATGAAGATGATGAGATCTACGAAGGGGAGTATCAGGGCATCCCCAGTATGAGCCAAGAGAAAGACAGCATCGTGTCGGTGAGGCAGCCCAAGGGCGATGAGTACAAGGACCGCCGGGAGCTGGAGTCAGAGAGGAGGGCTGACGAGGAAGAACTAGCCCAGCAGTATGAGCTGATAATCCAGGAGTGTGGTCACGGCCGTTTTCAGTGGGCCCTTTTCTTCGTCCTGGGCATGGCCCTTATGGCGGATGGCGTGGAGGTGTTTGTCGTTGGCTTCGTGTTGCCCAGTGCTGAGACAGACCTATGCATACCAAATTCAGGATCCGGCTGGCTAGGTGAGTGCCTCATGTCAGTGAGACAAATTCTGAAACTGGTTTATTTGTTGAGCAGTTAACAAATGGAATAAATACTTTTCATCTAGAACGCTGCATTTTTTTCCAACACTTTATTATAAAAATTTTAAACATACAAAAGAATAAAAACTATTGTACAGTGATGCCCATATATATCCACCACCTAGATTATATAGTTAACATTTACAGTATTTTCTTTATTGCTTGTCCATCTATCTTTCTATCCATCCATCAATCCAACTTATATTTTTGTGCATTTCAAAGTAAGTTACAGCAATATATTTTAACTTATACTATTATAAATGTTGCGTTGGTTTCTCCTTTATTAACTTCCAAAGATATACCCTTGGAAGTTAATAATGCTTTGTATGAAACTTATTTGACACCTGTCTAAATACAGAGGTTAATTCTACAAAACCTTGACAAATGTGATTTCAAATTCCAAATTTCAAATTTTATGTATAATACTATGGTTTAAATACTTTGCAGAACCTGCTAATTTTTATTTTTGCTATAATCTATGTGTATGTTTGCTTGTTGATTTTTTCAGTTAGCCTTCTTCATAGAATTTTCTCTAGATGACTTGTTCTATCCTTTTCAAAGTTTGCACCTTTGTGCCTAAACTGGAAAAACTTAATTTCCTCATCTGATTTAAAAATCTATTTCAAATCATATTAATATTTAAATTATATGTGTTAAAAATAATGTGACCTCTCTACAAAATATCTAGATAGCAGGTTTGATTTTTGTTTTAAAGTTACCGTGCACTCAATGCTCATATTGCTACAAAGCTGTAGTTAACACCCCCACTTATTTCCCTTGTGGGAGGGAAGATAAAAAGGCCAAGAAACACGTGCACAGCGGGATATCCCCGACGACGTAAGAGTCCACTTCAGACACTCGGTACACGAAGTCACCAGGACTTTAAACCCCTTTTGCTAAGCATACCTCAGAGAACGTGTTTATGAGCATATTCAATCTTTATGTGTTTCAGAGTCTGTGAAAGAGAGTAAGAATACTTAGTATCTTTATTTCCAAGGGACTTTTTAAAACTAAAGCTTGAGAAACAAAAATATACAGCTCTTTTTATGGAAACCTAGTAACTTTATTAAGTGATGTTATAATCATGGATGCTGAGAAATTTTTTGTCTGAAAAAAAATTAAATACCAGTTCCTAACCTGCCCTGTGACAAGAGAGAGAATCATGAGTGAGAAAAGGGTTTGCATCTTATTCCTTTAACACGTGTGTCTTTTACATGATCCTCTCCTAGCATTTGTTTCTTTAATCACTTTACTGAAAGAGACAGAGCCACGAAAGCACACTCTGAGGGGCGAAGGGGTGGGAGGGGGCATATTTTTGCTGGTAGAATCATTTGTGTGTTCAACCATCAAAATGCAGAACATGGTTCCAAGGAGTGTCCTCATTTGTCAAATTCCATTCTTTTCAGCATATCTGTTTTGTATCTAGCACTGTATTTTGTTTTTTTCCTCTGGTGAGCAAGTATTCCCATCGTAAGCTTGGGCAAAGATTTTGCTAAGGAGTATATCAGCAGAATACTTCAAGAAGATAGATCCTTAGAAATACATCCACACAAATGTTTAATAATTGCAGGCTTACATTTAGAATAAAAACCTTTTCATTTTATGATCCTAGTTTTTGTATTGGAAACACTTCAGAAAAATCTAAGCTAAGCTTCTCCTTGTGCCTGTATCTTCTTGGTACGGAATGGAAGCACAGGGTCGCATGTGGTTCTCTTGTATCAGTCTGTCCCATAAACCTGGAAACCCTCATGTTGTTATGTACCCCAGGTGGCATTCAGAAGTGTAGATAATGCTGTGGAACAATTGGAGCCCAGACATTTTCATCTGTCCATAAATGTTGCCTGCTTTAGTGAATTAAAAATGTGTCCCCAGGAGTGCCTAGTTTCACTCAATGTTGTGAGTCCCCAGCAGAGGCATTTTAATGGTTTTATAACTGTGCCTTCCAGACTTGCATTTCAATTATTTTGCCATTGTAATTTCACTTATAATTGCATTCTAACGCAGTCTTTTTTAGACAAGCATTTAAATTGTTTTGCCATATTCATTTCATCGAATAATAGCTTTGTAATATAATTACCACACTAAGTCACAGCAATGAGATCAAACTGAAAGAAAGATGCGTGACCCATGTTTGCTGGCTTTTGGGGATATAGATTTGCAAAATAATTTCCCATTTGCTACTGAGCAGTGTGTCACTTTCTCAAGGAAGACCAGAAACAAAAAATATGAACCAATTTATGTTTTAATTATTTGGGAGATAGAGCCTCTCTTTGTGTTTGGTAGATTGACTTAAAGGAGTCTAAGGGCACACCATGTGTGCAGGTGTCTGTATAACATTGCTAATTGGGCGGGAAGAAGTTAGGGTAAATAATGATCTAATGACCTGCTCTTTGAGGGCATTAAGCACAGTCACTCTAAGGTAATCCATTCTCTATTGCCAAAGTCTATTTATCGAGCACTTACTATGTACAGAGCACAGTGTTACCGCAGGGGATAATAGGACAAAAAGAGACAAGGTTTCTGTATCCAAGGAAGTTATAGTCTAGTGTGGAGGATTCACAGATATCTGCAGATTGCCAGGACAAGGAAGCGTGTATCAATAGCCATAAGAGAAGTGTGCATAGAGACTTCAGGCTGGGAGACCATGTAAGCAGCAAGGACCTGACTGAGGCCATGGAGAGAAGGCATGGATTTGAGAGCTGTTCCAGGGGTCGAGTCAACAAGGATTTGGTCACCAATTAGTTTGGAAGGGGGAGGAAGGGAGTGGTTGATGAAAGGAAGGCAATTCATCAAATTAAGTAATGCAGAGTGTAGGTTTTAGCATGAGGGAGAAAGATGAAAGGTTTAGTTTTAGACTTCTCATTTTGAGACCCTTGGGGGTGTCCAAAGAGGAGTGCCCAGTGGGCTATGGCTCCATTTGGGAGCCATCTCATTTAAGAAGAAACTGCCCATGACCTTAACCAGGGAAAGGGCAGTTTCCTGCTGAACGCTATTTATGGGGCTGGTGGTGAGGAAGACTGAGAAAGAGAAGCTAGAAGGAGGAGCAGGCAGGAGAGAGGGGAGGTCTGGAAGTTGCTGGAAGAAGGAAGGGGTACGTCACTGTTAGGCTTGCAGTAAAGGCTGAAACGGGATTCTCAGGTCTGGCATTTAAGAAGTTATTGGTGCTGCAAATGGCTCTTAAGAAGAACACAAGGAGCAAGGAGAGGTGAGTCAAGGATTCTGTAGCTAAATAACAACAAAAACTTTAAACATCTTATCTGGAATATCAGTGACTTCAGCTGCCACTCTGGAGTTACAATAGGTTCTGTGTTTGATAAAGCAGCATTTATAGAGTGGCCGTTATGTGTGGGGCTTGGCCCAAGGCCCTTAAGGGAGATTGAGATGAGTAAGGATTGGTTCCTGTTATCAGGGGAAATCATGGTATTTTCCAGCTGTTGGTGCCTTAGTGCTTCAGGCAAACCTTGTCATCTTAAAATGAGGGTAGGACACCTGGAGACTGTGGGAGACTTGCCTCCTCCATGGCTGGGTATTGGCTGAGGCAGACTGTAGAACACATATCCCAGCTCTCCCAACTCTTAATCCCCTGTTCCTTCCCATTTCCATTTAAAGTCCTCTTCACTGGGTTTACTCCTGGGAGAATACAAGACTCTTAGTTATTTGTGAAAATACACCATGCTAGGATCTCAAGCAGTGACCTCGAAATTCACCTTTTGTTTGTGGACTCCAACATTATAATCACCTCTTGAACTTACACGTTTTTCTCCCTTTTCCAAAACCTAATCGAAGATATCACCTGTTTTTTGTATTTATAGGCAGTATATAATGGCAACAGTCACAAGTGAGAAATTTGATTGCCTCTGAGATTTAACCTATAAAATCAGCCATTTTGCAAAGTCATCTTAAAAGGGCAGAGCAGCAAAAGTTAAAATAAAGAGAGAGAATGTGAGCTCCATGGGCTCAGGGGTTTTGTCTCTGTTGTTCACTACTGTGTCCCCCCTGCCCAGATCAGTGCCTGGTACGTAATAGAATCTCAACAAATATTGGTTGAATGAATGAATGACAGCCTCTGAGATCATTAATACTTTGAGACCTCATTGAAGATATAGATGGGATTTTATTTAAAGTAAGAATGTGTTATTTCGAATGGGAATTCATCAGTAGTGGAGGAACACAGAATGGAAAGCCATAGATGCAGATGTTGGCAGTACCCTTCTAAATGGTTCTCAGGGTTGGGGTTCCCTGAACTGAGGATTTAACCTATGTGGTTTTGAAGCCACATGTATCCCTATTGTAAGGAAGGGGGCATTAGGCCTGGAGTCCATGAAGACATGAATCCGTAGCAAAGACCTCTCGTTCTAGTGCTTCAAAGCAACTAGCAGATTTCAAATTCAGCTTTCTCTAGAGTTTGCCCATCAAGAATGTGCTTGCCAAAGGATGCCAGTCTTCTTGGCAATTCTGTTTTTCATTTTAATTAACCAATTGGCATTCCGGTTTTTTCTGTCTTGGTGAGGCTGGCTATTAGGAGTCTCCTTCTCAGATGGATCTGTCCTGAGTGTGCTGACATGTCCGGTTTCTGAATGTGTAGGACCAAGGTCCAGACCAGGACTGGGCCAAAGTGGCTAGCACCCTCAGAGGCCTACCTGGGTGGTCACCTGGGATTCCCAAAGAAATATCCCATCTGCAGTACATACTGGTTTTCCTTTAAAACATCTACAATATTGGCTAGAGTGATTGGCATATTGGGCAAAAACAGAGGTAGATCAAGAACATCAAAGCTTTAGGAAGAGTTTATTTGTAGATATGAATGGAATTTTACTTGACTTTTTTTTTTCAATTTTAGAAACTCCTGAAAGTTTTAAAAAATATTTCTAAATAATTCTAAAATAAATATATATTTTTGTGAGTTTAGGACACATTTTTGGCTAGAAATGGAGCCATAT